ATTAAAAATTACAACCAAACCAAAAAAAGCAATTATTTTATCAAAAAAGTCTATAATTATGTTAAATTAAGTATAACTATACCAACCTATCCCAAACCTTAACTGCTGTATAAATTAAAAACTCGCCGCCTAATAAAAAGTAATAATTCTACCTTGCCAGTGTAATCCCGTGGACCACAAAAATAAAATAACAGCTAAAAATCTAAACTAAATCAAAATAAAAACAACCACCTACACTCTATCACTGCAACCTATTTGCGAAACACAAACAAGTACAATAATTAGGATTCGGTATTATTTCTGCTGGGCTGGAACAGACGATCAGCAACAGCCACGTGATTTAAAACTACCAATGACAGCATGTCCAAGCTCAACTTTTGTCGCCTCAAGACAAGGACAGATAGACTCGTGTTTAACATTAATAGTCATATATGCATCTCTAACACATACTTTGATTACTATACGGGGCAAGAGAGAGGTCCGACACGCCCAACATAGGGCGCGGCCATTTTGAACCCTATGACACAGTTTATAGCTAAAGAATCAGATCGCTCACTCTGCGTCGGCACTTTTTATCTCAATGTTCCAGTTTATACACTGCGCAACTCAGATAATACAATATATGACAACCGCTTATAATAAAACAGCAGTCTTCTGCGTATCCTGAATTTGTATTCCTGGAGTGGATGTTATTTTGGAACTTTCAACTGGTCCGAGTGAGCTAACTGATTCTTTAGCATTAAACTGTGACTCCATAAATAATATTTACTGACACTGACAGCAGCAAGCAAAATATCAGGTGCGTTTTAATCATCCGCTTCTGCTTCCGGAATTGCCGGTCAGTCGTTCTAACCTGTCAGATTAAAACAAGAAAACCGACAATTTCGAAGCAGAAGCGGATGATTAAAACGCACCTATTAAAAATATTGCGCCAAGATGTAGGCAACACGTAATAAGGGTTCAAAATGGCGGAGTTTTCTATCTCCTTTTAAAAGGCACTCAGAAAGCTGCGCAGTGCGACCATTCTCCGTATAGTAAAAGAAAATCAAAGTATGTGATCTCTAAGGTCTCTATGTGTTCGTCGGGTCGCGTGAGTGGAGCTTTCCTAAGTAAGCTAAAACTATTTCGCCTCTGTCGTCGTCGACTCTCAAGGTTTAGTAGGAGCGGGTTAACGCGGTTTGCGCCTAGATTTTTATTTACCATTTATAAAATACTACTTGTATGGGTCTTGAATATTGTTTTTTTTCAACTCTTTTCTGGATATGTTGTTAAAGTATACTTGTAATAGGTAATAAGCTAGATAAAAAAAAATCGTTCTTTACTTCATTTTGAGGGTGAGGCGCGGCCTCAGAGGCCTACCCTGAGGAGCCCCCATTGCTCCATCAATCATAGGACTACAGCTATTAGGAAAACATAATTCTAAAGGGGTAAGGGCTCTTAAAATAACATTTAATTCTACTTACAATGTTATTAAAAATCGGTATAAACTTAAAGGAAAGCTCGTCTTTCTCAATTTTGATCTGACACGTAAACAAATGGAATCAGAAAAACTTGTCAAAAAAGAACTGTACAATAAACGACGTGAAAAAGGAGAAAATAATCTTATCATCAAATTTATAAATGGATGTCCAAAAATAATTAGTTTGAATCCAAAAAACTAACCAATCAGAGCCCACCTTCTATTAAGTTCTCTCCTAGTTCCATTTACTACCAAAACGTTAGAGGATTAAGAACAAAGCTATTTCTGATGTAGCAACTGTAGCCCACGAAATCATTGTTTTCACCGAAACTTGGCCGACAGAAAACTTTAGTGATGCCAAACTTGGATTTGAAACTTTCAACATTTATAAACTTAAGTCTAAACAGGATTACAATGATTACATTAGACACTGAATCATCTGTTGCTAATGATATTAAAACATTTTGAAATTTTGTCAATTCAAAAAGAAAAAGTAATGCGTTACCCTACGAAATGTACTATAAACACACTAGATGCTCTATGGGCACAGATTTAGTTAATATGTTTCAGGATTACTTTAGCTCAATCTATAGCAATCAACCATGCCATAATTATGATAAACCATATTCAACCCACTTAGATTATCAGATATCTATTTCAGAAATATTTGAACACCTGAGCTGTTTAGATATGAGTAAGGGATCAGGTCCTGATGGCTTGCCACCTTCCTTATTAAAAACTTGTAGTTTTGTTATATCCTGTCCACTGCATATTATCTTTAATGTTTCGCTTCATAATGAAATGTTCCCCAATTACTGGAAATCAAGTTTTACTGTATCGATTTACAAATCAAATATAACTAATTACAGGCCAATATGCATTCAAAGTGTGATTCCTAAACTCTTTGATAGTATTATGACAAAATATTTATCGAAACTGCAGTGTGGGTTCCGCTCCAAAAAGTCCACTGAACTTAACCTGTTGTCGTATATTGATTACTTATTGAATGCCTTGGATTCTAATGATCAAGTTCATGCTATATACACTGATTTTTCAAAAGCATTCGACAGGGTTAACCACAGTTGCTTTATTGAAAAGCTTAGTAACATTGGCATTGGTGGTAATCTTCCGAAATGGATTGAATGCTTTATAACGAATCGCATTCAAATGGTTCGTGTTTCTGGCTTCTTATCCTGACTTTACCGCTACATCGGGTGTCCCTCAAGGGTCACATTTGGGACCTCTACTTTTTATTATATATAACAATGACATCCAATATTGTTTTAAGAATTCTCTTCCTTTGTATTCATGCATGTAAATTCCATACATGATTGTATTTGCCTGTAAAAAGACTTGGATAACTTGGTCCAATGGTGTAGTACTAATGGCATGGGATTAAATAAAAGTGAATGTCATGCAATCAATTTCAACAGAAAACATAGTCCTATTGAATATATCTATAAAATCAATGACATAACACTGGATACTATTCAGAGGTAAAAGATTTAGATGTGATACTAGATTCCACCCTTTCTTTTCAAACTCGGACGCGAAGTGAGAGTTTGGGTCGGATCAAGAGGAAAATCAAGAAAATCCTTTTTCACCGTTATTAAACGATAATAATTATCTGCTTTTAAAATTGTCCAGTTACATAAACCAAAAGGACGCTTTTTATTATTTATATTCAAAGAAGTTTTTTATATAACTGGTTATGTGCCAGAAAGAAACCGTATTTGTATACAAAATTTGAAATTTTTCTCTAAAGCCGTTTTGGGGCTATCGCGCCAACAGACAGACGACGACAGACTGACCGACGGAATGGGGAAACATGTTTTTCGTAATCTAGGGACCCTGAAACGTGAAAATTTGAAATAATCTCGGAAAGTGACTTTTTCACGATTACAATACTTCCCTCTTATCCAGGGAAGTAAAAACAATAATAAAAAGACTTGGTCCAATAATCGCAGAGAATCTACTGTAATTCTGGTCAAGTATTCCAGTTAACAACAATCAAGAATCAATTGAAGACTTTCCCAAAATTCATTTAAACTATCTACGTTTTTTTCATGGAAAATTATAGAAAAACTATAAATTTTTAAGTTGTGGAGTGCCATTTGTTATTTTTTATAGTTCAAATAAATATTATATAAATCACATTTTTTAGTTTTGATTATAAATCTGTATAAGTTTATTTTTTTAAAAAGTTGTCACCAAAAAAAATAATTTCAATAAATCATGTAGTTACGCCTCCTTGAATATAGAGGAAGCATGAACAATGTTAGATGAAAAAAACATACCTGTCAAAAGTACGATTTTTTCTAATTTGCGTTGTACTACATTTTGTAACATAAAAACAAATACCACTTAAATACCATCCATTAAATAAATGCATCACATTTTTGAAAATCCAGGATTGCCCAGAAAAAAACAGAAAAATCTATTTTTCTCACGTTCAAGTATTAAACAGATACGGCCATTTGAATTAACACGGCAGAATAGACAGCAATAGATTACAGAAATTGCAAAACTCTTGCCTGAGGCTAATATACGGTATAAGAAAATTTGATCCAATTTCACATACCTTAGAAAAGACTCATTGGCTCAATATGAAAAACAGACATATTTTACACTCACTTGCATTACTTCATAAGGTTATAATAAATGGTGTCCCACCTTATCTAACAGATAAAATCAAGTATCCGTCTGATATTCATAATATAAATATTAGAAGAAAAAATATTATTTCAGTCCCTCAACACCACTCATCGTTATTTCAGAGATCCTTCAGGTACTGCATAATAAACTTGTATACCCTACTACCAGACAATTTTAGTCATGTCAGTGTCTCTCTTAAAAAAAAAAATATTTTCGAAAAACTATTCAAAGGACAATGTAATAAGTTTTTTTAGATAAAATAAAATAAGTATGTTTTATTTGTTATTTTTTGTTATCTCTGGGTATAATTACCTAATACTTTCATATACTTAGGTATATATATTTTTTTTTTCATTATATTTTTGTTTTTCACAAGGTCCTTGTAAAAAAACATCTTTGAATATGTTCTTGTGTACATATTTATTTAATTTTTGGAAGCTTTTTACTGGTTAATGCAGACAATTATTATTATTATTGTACTAAAAAAATCTGATATAGACAAATATGTCATCCTTCAATAAGGAAAACACATTTAAGATTTGATAAACAACTGGTATAGTTTTAATTCATTGTACCTGACTCCTTATAAAATTCAAATAATGAAATTTCATATTCGTCAAAAAATGTGTTCACCTTTAGATGTAATAATTATCAATAACGTTCCAGTCATTCAGTTGAAACGAAATTTTTGTGCTTACCATCAATGAAAATATCAGCTAGAAAAATGTGTAGAATTAATAAAAAAATGTAATTCCTTGTGTTTCTTGTTCAGGAATCTCAAGCAAGAGTATTAAGAGGCACAATATAATAGATTAAATCATTATTTCTACCCTAGGCTCACTTTCTAACAGACAGCCCTCGTATATATTATGTGGATTTTACTTACACTACAACCTTTTTTACTTCTGCCTGATCCTCTTTACTCAATGTATTAAAGCCCGGTAGCTTATCTCCAGACTCAAAGTATCCTAAATCGGCTCTAACTTGTGCAAAACATGCGACATGGTGCCACATGTCTTGTCCTCCATACTTTTTTCCAACGTCAGTTTCAAAATCTTTTTTAGAAATACGTACCTATAATGGAACAAAGAAGACAAACGTTTTCCCTTTTTTAAAGCCAGATGAGACTAATTTAAATATGGCCATTTAAATGTAGCCAGAGATAGCAGGAGATGTAACTACACACAAATATCGTGCTGTATTGAATAAGACATATTCTAAGGGACACAGGATGGTATAATATCCACTGTTGTCATGCCTATTTCACTATTCATGGTTTGTTTACAAAATGATTTACATATCTTAAAAAAAGCTAAAATAATTCAATCTTTATTGCAACTGAACCCAAAAATTTTTGAATCATTAATTATATCAAATTTAACTGAATCAGACATGATTTCACTAAATTCCAAAAACTAATCTTAAGTTGCATTTCAAGTATTTGGTAGACTCCGTTTCACGAGAGAAGAACACAGCTGAAGTTGCAACGATGACAGTCGCAGAAACCAAATTATGTCTTGTTTACCTACGTCGCTTAGTAACTACAGGGTCACGTCACTGGCGTACCATGAATATTTTTATGCCAATAGTCATTTATTTATTTGTTAGCGGCGTTAGCGTTTGACATTTAAGGTAGTTCACTCGTAAAACGGCTTTTCTTAAAAATTCAATAAAATTGAAATATAAGGTCAGTAAAAGTGTCTTTTATGTAAATAAAAAAAAAATTTTTTTGACCGTCTGTGAAACGAGATATTAACAATCAAAATGTGCATAATTAACACTCTTGAAGCCTCTCATGTACACAAGTAATGCATTTATTTCCAGGTATCTCGAAAACTGTTCTTACCATATTTTTTAAAAACTAATGTAATGTAAATCAAGAAGGTATAAAATTGTCTAAAGAAACGCTGAATTTTTTTACCTTCTTAGTAAAAAGATATAGATTTTTAAAATAAAATTAGTTTTAAAGCAATCGACGCGTAGTTGGTAAAATTATTACAACTTGGCAACGTTGTATACGCTGCAATCAACGCGTTGTACCAAACTAACACTCGATCAGCTAAGAGGATGTTATAACCTCGCGACGTTTACTTGAAAAATTAATTCGTCCACTGTATTTGAGAACGGGAATCAGCGGTTCTGTTTGAACCAAAACAAACCCTTAAAATTAATATGAGGAAGTCACAAATTTCTATAGCAAACCATTCATGTATTTATGAGGTTGCCGGATAAGATGATATAAGCTTACATGTGTTTTGTACAGTCTCTTACAAAAATAAAATTGATTAGCATTGAGAATCTCGAACTATTGGTATTCACCATTAAGCGATATTTTTATGTACGACTGTCGCGAGTGAACTACCTTAAGGTTATTTTTTTGGAATCGCCTATTTGTTAAATATTTTTGATTTTAGATTATTTTAAGACGTTTGTAAGTGAGTGTTGTGTGTTTTATTTAATCTAAAACCATGCCTCCTAAAAAGCTTGTTGGTTTAAAAGGAAAAATTATCCACAGTCAAGGTCGGCAGATTATAAACAATGTCGCATATTTTATGCAATCCGAAGCTGAAGATGGAATTCAAATTCCTTTACAAAATCATCGGTAAGTAGAATAAAAAAGTATAATACCTATGTAATAATATAATTTATTATTCCTAACCAGATCAGTCAGAATTTACAAGTATTCTTTGGCGAATTTATATACTTTAGTACTAAGACTAGTCTTTAGACAAAAAGATCGGTTATTTCATTATGTTATTGTAGATTATAAATCGTGCCCTTATTGCAAGTACCACCTAATTATATATTTTGTCATTAACATACGTAGTTTGGGTAAAAATTTTTATCTGTAAAACAAATATTGCAAAATTTTGTCAGTAGTTTGTAGCTTTGAGATTGTTATAAAGTCTTTAGAAAAGTAGTATTCTAATTTAAAAATAATTGAATTCTACTAAAAAGTAGGTATTCGTCCTATATGATTTTGCGTGTAAAGAAAATATTTATTCTATACAATGAAAAACTATGTGTCTTGGTATATTTGCAAGACAAGCTTATGGTGTTACATTTCTTTAATTCGTAAAATATATATATCCTGATCGAGTCTTTTTAATATACACAACCTCTATTTTCCTTGAGAAAAAAATTAGAATAAATTTTGATAAAATACAGTTATTTATTACTACCTATATATTTGATTGAAATGTGATCTTATTTGTTTTTAGCCATAATTTAATTTCAAATGGGACATTGTATCAGTTAGCAACTAACTTGTTTAGGGACTAGGAGTATTTCCACAACCATACAATGTAAATATTGCTGATTTTTAATGCCTATATTTTTAAATTGCAGAGAACGAACTCTAAAAGCAACTGGTGTGAGTAAAAGTACTTACGCCAGAATTAAAAAGGAAACCTCAGCTATTGAAAGAGGAGCGCATCTACTTCATTTGGATCTCCTCGAAAAAAGAGACCAAGGAAAAAAATCAGTACTGGAAGCACTAAAACTTGGAGAACTAGAAAGGATTCGGGAGATCGTTTATGATTTTTACATCCTGGAGAAAAGGGCTCCTAGTTTAAAATGTAAGTTTGATATAAATAAAATAGTTATTTTTGTATAAGTGTCTGAAATCAGGTTTTTTTGTATTGTACCATTGACACATACTAAAAATCTTCAAAAGAAACGTCTATCAGTTCACTTTTAACCGTAAAACATTTTTAGGCTCGAAAGTATTTTAATACTTAATTTTTATAGAAGTTTTTTTATTAAGGAATATATATTTTTCTAGGTATTCTTCACAAAGTACAAGCTGTTCTACCTGAATTTACAGGAAGTAAAACTTTTTTATGGAGGCTGTTAAAACGTATGGGGTTTAGGTAAGTAGTTTTTAAAGTTGAAGTGTAATTTTAGTAGGCTTTTTAGAAGAAAAAAATAATAATAGGACTAGAATAGACATTGTGACATTAAAAATATTAATAAGTAATATGCATAAGCATTTCATTAAAAATAATGCCTTAATTCTAGGTGGCAGCGCACACAAGATAATAGAAAGATGATTATGGACTCCTATGATATTCGCCTAAAAAGAATTACTTTCTTAGAAAATGTTAGTAAATATAGAAATTAAGGCTGGAATGAAACATACATCCACAGCTCACATGTACAATCTAAGGGATGGTATGATATATCAGGAAAAGGTTTGAAGAAGCCAATCTCAAAAGGAAGGAGACTTGTGATTGTACATGCAGGTGGAGAAAAAGGTTTTATTCCTAATGCCTTATTAATATTTCGTTCAGGTATGTCTCTACATATATTGAAAAGTATTATTTTTTAAGTATCGATGGTCCCAAATATTTATAAACTCTGTATATATCAGGTATAACATGTTTTAACTTAGTTTAGGGAAAAACGCTATTTAATAGTAATAACTATAGTAGTAAAAATGATTTAATTTGAATATGCGGAAAAACGAATAACTTCACTCATTAGCATCCATAAAAATGTTGGGCTAGAACGAAAAACATGTACTGATTTTTAGATAAATTTTCGAAAATTATACTATTGTTATTTATGGTTTTTCATTGGTTTTTAAACAATATATAATGTCTTAATATGACATGTTGCACTGCTATTTTAATTTTTTTTTGTATTAAATTACATTCAAATAAAACTTTCAATCCTTCACTTCATATGTGTACTGAATGTTTAGTTATTATGTAATTTGTTTACAAAATAGTAAATTTTCGTGTGGGTCTAGATTAAATTTGTTCTATTTTTTTTAGGTTCTAAAAGTGGAGACTACCATGATGACATGAATCATTCAAACTTTATGAAGTGGGTTCAGGAACAACTATTGCCCAATATGCCTGAGAAATCAGTTCTGGTTGTAGATAATGCTTCTTACCACAACGTGAAAACTGAAAAAAGTATTACTTCAGCATCTAGGAAAGCAGAAATGTTAGAATGGCTTAGGGCCCACAAAGTTGAACATGATGTCAATAAGACAAAACCCGCTTTGTATGAATTAATAGAGACTTAAGGTCAGTCATTATTAGTGCGGCTCTTATTTTGACATCTGAGCATGCGCAGATCACTAACTTTAATAAAGATTGTGCCGGTCCTTAATAAGAAAGTTATTGCAAGTTCACTTAAGGTCAGTCACTATTAGTGCCGCTCTTATTTTGACATCTAAGCATGCGTAGATGTTTATGTTCTAAAACTGACTTTATTAAGGATTGTGCCTGTCCTTAATTGTGGATGTTTAAGGGCAGCAGGTAGTGGCGACTTTATAGTTTTCGGATGCGCTCGCCGACATTCGTATCCGTTAGAAGTTTTTTAATATTAAATATTTAATATAATTGTCATTTAAACCTTCTAAAATTATAATTTCTAATGCCTCTTTAATATTATAGACAACAAAAAAGATGAACTATAATTTAAAGTTAAGTGGCTGGCTTTATAGAAATTTGCAATATCTCTCTATTAAGGACAGGCACAATCTTTATTAAAGTTAGTGATCTGCGCATGCTCAGATGTCAAAATAAGAGCGGCACTAATAGTGACTGACCTTAAGTGAACTTGCAATAACTCTCTAATAAAAAAAAATCGGTTAGGTATTCCCGTTTCCTATAAATTGGACTGTTTACTGAAAGAACATGGGCATAAAGTCTTATGGTTACCACCTTATCATCCAGAATTCAACCCAATAGAAAAAATCTGGGCACTGGTTAAGAACTGGGTGGCAGTGCACAATACCACATTTAAACTGGATGATGTGGAGAAATTAGCCAGGAAGAAATTTTCTGGAGTTTCTGATCAATAATGGTATTCTATTTGCGAACATGTAAAGAAATGCGAATCTGAATAGATTAAAAAAGAACACATTCTGGATAAGGCTGTAGATTCTCTTGTGTTTACTGTAAATACAGGATCGTCTGATGAATCTACTTCAGAGGATGATTGCAGCAGTGACAGCAGTAGGAGCATTATAGAATTGCTTAGTGACTCTGAAAGCGATTAATAATACAGGCATACAAGAAATAATTTTTTCCAACATACCTACCTAGATTCTAGGCAAACGTATTTCAAATTTTGTGATATGGTTCAAATTTATGATTTTAAAATCGATATATCACTAAGGTCAATAAACAAAAAGTCTTAAATTTCTTCATAATATACTTTTCCAATAACTAGTAACTATCATCTAAAATTTCATCAATTTGTTTAACTATAAATGGATCTAAACAAGTTTGAATTTTTGAAGTAAGGGTAAAAAGTATAAAATTTTGTAAAATATTTCACACATGTGCAACTAGCAGTCAATTGAATAAGAAATACAACAAACATTTATTATCACTAAGCTATTTTGTATTCATTGTTCTTACACTTATCGTTTGATTAACTACTATTGTATACTGCAGATTTCGTTAAAGTTTTTAGATGTGAAATGTTTTAAAAATTTATATTTTTCCCTGATTTTCAAAATTTAAAAAGTAATACTAAAGTTGCATATTATGGCATTTGAGTTCCAACTTTTCAATGATTTTTGCCAGTAATCTGAGTAAATCATTTAATAATCAATATGTTACCAATATGTTTCATGCATTCCTTAATTAAAATAAACAATTTGATAAGTTCCTATTTTGTGTTTTTTTTTACCTTTTTTTTATTACCTAAACGATATATTTAGGGCTTGAAGTAATAGGCTATTATGTCCTAAGAGTTCAATATCTCAGCTAGTCCATTTTTATCCAAAAAACATTTATAACCTAAGATTTTCCAGGAAATTTAATATACTTTTTATTGTGTGAGGCAATTCCTACACCTACCTCTACTTAAAAAGCAATTATAAGCAAAAAGTAAACAAAATTAATTTTTTGCATATTAAATTCTCTTTTTATATTTTTTACATAAAAAAAATTTAAATAAATAATTTGATGTGAAATAATCGTATTATTATAATTATATTAACTGCATGAATTTTGCCTCAATCAAAAAACAATTATAGGCAAAAAAAATGAATCTTCTGCTATTTAATTATTTTTTCTTATAATTGCATTTACAAAAAAATTCGTATTAACTATACCTGCATTTTGCTTCGTTTCCGAGATATAAAAAACTCTAAGGGCTGAATTTTCACCCTTATCTCCAATTTCCACCCGCTAATTCAATAGCATATTTATTGACCATTTGAATGATTTTTGCCATAAAAACCCAAAAGTGATCATTCCTATCTTTATTACATATTCAATAGAGTCTATAAGGGATTTGCAAATTTAATTTTTTTTTATTTCAACATTTCTTGCATTAAAACTGGTGAAAATGACAACACCATTTTTATATTTATTTAAGAATTAAATTTGAAATGGTTAGGCTACTGATTTGTAGTCAAACATCAAATTTATAATATGGAGCTGGTTATGATGACACGTTCGCGCATACGACTGCAACTTCAGGTGTATTCTTCTCTGGTGAAACGGATTCTACTACATATGGCAACAGGGCTTGCATTTTTACGTTGTTTATTAGAAGGGTGCAAGCACTTACACATTTATTCATTGATGAAGTTGTTCCCCTCTCTTACCTTTCACCACATGTCTCTTCTCTCCTCATCACCAACTAGACGGTATTGGGTGTGGTGTGTATGTTGGCAGCACCAATATTATATTTTATCAATGAATAGCTATATCTCCTGTTATCTCTGAATGTACCCTATCCCTTATGAATATTCATCTTTAGTAAATTATTAAATATGAGAGACCTTACAGGATATTTTCTAAATGGAGTTGTCTTTTTTAAAAGCCTACATATATGCCAATGTTTGTTAAATTAAACGAATGTAAGTCAAATAATTACCAGTTGACATGGGTGTACCTCAGGTGTCTGTACTTGAACCATTACTATTTTTACTTTTTATAAATGACTTAAAACATATAGATGCAAATATAACTTAATTTGCTGATGAAACTTGCGCTCCCAGCACAGATCTTTAAGAAACTTACATGTGAATATCTAATTCAAAATATTTGTGTCTTAAAAAAGGGAAAAATAAGATCATTAAATAGATGGTTATGTCCTGAATGGCAAAGAATTGGCTAAGGATATGGGAATACTTTTTGATTTTCAACAAAGTTTTTGTGAGCATATCAATCAATTAGCAGTTAAGTTTTAAAGGATGATAGGGTTTACTTTAAGAAATTGTTGTGAACTCTCTCTGGAAGCTGTGAAGTCAGTGTATGTTGGGTTGGTCAGATCGCAACTTGAATATGATTCAATTATTTGGATGCCTCAGTATAATGTTTATAAGTCATTACTTGAGAGAATACAAAATAAATTCTTGAGATATTGTAATTAGAGGTGTAACATGGATCATGACTATTCTCTTATCCTACATAAACTAAAATTGCTTACTCTCACATACTTTGATTTTCTTTTACTATACGGAGAATGGTCGCACTGCGCAGCTTTCTGAGTGCCTTTTAAAAGGAGATAGAAAACTCCGCCATTTTGAACCCTTATTACGTGTGGCCTACATCTTGGCGCAATATTTTTAATAGGTGCGTTTTAATCATCCGCTTCTGCTTCGGAATTGTCGGTTTTCTTGTTTTAATTTGACAAGTTAAAACGACTAAACCGACAATTCCGGAAGCAGAAGCGGATGATTAAAACGCTCCTGATATTTTGCTTGCGGCTGTCGGTGTCAGTGAATATTATTTTTTGAGTCACAGATTATTGCTAAAGAATCAGTTAGCTCACTCGGACCAGTTGAAAGTTTCAAAATAAGATCCACTCCAGGGATACAAATTTAGGATACGCAGAAGACAGCTGTTTTATTATAGGCGGTTGTTATATATTGTATTATCCGAGTTGCGCAGTGTATAAACTGGAACATTGAGATCAAAAGTGTCGATTCTTTAGCTATAAACTGTTGCATAGGGTTCAAAATGGCCGGGCCCTATGTTGGGCGTGTCGGACCTCTCTCTTGCGCCGTATAGTAAAGAAAATCAAAGTATGTGCTTACTCTGGACAAAAGAAGGATTATGTATATTTCTCTCATTTATAAAACATTAAATGGTATTGTCTCATGTCCATCTTTGTTGTCTAAAATAAAGATTGCAATGCCTCAAAGAATGCTATGTAAAATAATTTATTTTTCATTTTTTTTTTCTTAGAACAAATTATGGTAGATATTATTTTATGGACAGATCTTTAGTTTTTAAATAGAGAGAGTAGATTGGATGTTTTTAATATCTCTTTTCAAATGTTTAAGAGCACTCTACTAGGGATACTTTGATGCAATATAATAGCTATTGAATAGGCTGTAGGCACTGAAATATCATTGTATACTAGTATTATTCTTTTTTTTATTTTGGATGAGTGTTTCCTATACTCCTGGAATTACTTATTTAGATTTGTTAAATTTATGTTGACAACCATATTATATAGTTTTGTTTCCTGTTTAATAAATAAATAAAATAAAAAAAGGCCGTGTCTATGGGTCCGCAAGTTGCGGATATCTAGTCTTTTTATCTAGGGTTCCGCAAGTCCGCGCATGCGCATTCTATTTGCGGATTTTTAGGAAGGCCATGAAAAGTGTCTGCAACTTGCGGGAACGTAGGCGTAATTGCTAACGTTCCGCAAGTTGCGGACTCCTAGGAATATGAACTAGCGTTCCGCAACTTGCGGAAACGTAGGCTTAGTTGCTAACGTTCCGCAAATTGTGGACTTAGGGTTTCACAATTTATGGATATGCCCAAAAATGAAATTAAAACATGGTTGTGTGAACCCTTTTTTTCAAGATATATTTGTAATATTTACCAATTTATTTATTTGGTATACAGAGCGTAAAAATATATAGGATAACAAACGCGCTTAGTCTAGGGCAAATAGATCAAATCTAGACACCCCTGTATGGATGTTGGAGTTTCAATTTTTGGGTAATTTTGTATTACACAAATTTTAAACTAACTATTAAATTAATTTATATGTTATGGTAAAAGTTCAAACTTTCGCACCCCAATTTTTATTACAGATTTATCACAAATTTAGGTTTTTCAAATTAAAACCTTAGATGGTATTTAAATAAATAAAAAAATCAATGTAAGTATATGTATTTATTAAAAAAATGTATCAAACGGACAGGTACATATTTTGGTTTAAGAATCAGGTAGGCACAGGGTGATTCAAGATAAATGGACCACACACTTTATCGTTTAATATTGATTTTATAATGCAGAGAACAGAAAAACAATTACACATCGCGTTTGTACAGTCTGACAATAAGATAAGTGTGTGATCCATTTATCTTGAATCACTCAGTAGATATGGGTACCCAATACTACCTATTTATCTTTTTATAATAAATCGACATATTTTTAAAACCTTTGAGATTCTTTTATCTATTTAGTGTTTTTAATACATGCTCCAAAGTTACTATGATTGATGTAAAACATATTAGCTCCAAATTATGCAGACCCTTTTAAAATTTAGATGTCCCATTCGATGACACTCGGTATATTACTATTCATTCCATACTAACCTGCATTTACGCTTGCCAGTGCTTCTTAATTTAAAAGATTTTCCCTCCTTTTAAACAGCTATACACTAGCTTATAATATACTAAATCTTGATTACTTTTTTCAGTTTTTAAAGGGCATATTTTTGCCATGGATTTTAGCGTTCTCGAATCTCTTTTGTAGAGCTGTATAAACTATGTTTTTTCTACATTATTTATGTAAGTTTCAACTTCTTTGTAGCTAATAAAGGATTTATTTACTTTTAATATTTCTTCCTGATCACTAAAGAGCATTTTAAAAAAGAAATAAGATGTTCTAATTTTTAGGATATCTCATTTATCACATCAACAAATGATTTTTGAGGTTAGGACAAAGGCTGGCGGAACCACAAAAACATATTTCATAAATGTCCGCAAATAAATCGCGCATGTGCGGACTTGCGGAGCCCTAGATAAATAGACTACAGACATGGCCATAAAGGCCTGTATGTTTCCTGTTTGTATAAAACTTTTTGAGACACACTGTATATCATGACATCGAAATCTCTATATTTACCTCATCTTTAAGAATTTTTTGTTCACATCCTCTACACATTGCTCTTCCAGATTTTGCATACTCAATATTAAAATCTTTCAATGCTTCTTTCTTCAATTTAGCACTAGGCTCTCCGGGTCGTTTTTTCCCTTTTTTATTTGGAACGATAGCAACTGAAGCTAAACCGACCCTTGCTTTGATTGAATCCTGATCTTCAACTCGTAGCCCTTCGAAATGGTCGATATCATCAGTGGTTTTAGGACGTTGCTTCTTGAAAAAACACTCGAAGTGATGCCAGTTTGGCACTTTACCATCAAAATGTGGAGACTAGAAAAAAAAACATTGAAAACATGTTCAGATTAACAAAGGATTCGCGATTCGTTGTATAATTACTTGAACCATCACAGCTATTCGCAAAGTTCCTTGCTCTATACCAGTCCTGCAGCCTTTGCAACTAGAACGGCCTGTTTTTGCATATTCTGCTAAATATGGTAAATCCGTTTTACTCATTTTAACTTTGCAAAATGTATATTATGTAATTTAGATCAACATTAAAAGATTTACCGGCCGTGGTCACTCTAAATTCCGTAGTAAATAAATTTTAACTTTAACTGTCTTGTCAAAAATTTGCGCGGGCTGTCAATTTAACAGGTTGACCAATTAGGCATTCCAACGACCTGTCCAAATGGCTACCAGTGGGTAATGACAGTTTAGATATGGCAACCCTGTTGTCATGTTGTCATTAACAGGGTCAATGATACATATATAGTTATATAGATTGCTCAAAGCTGGTCGTTTACGAGCGGCCATATTGCCTGGCAAATATTTATTAATTTGAATCGGTTTAGCAAAAATGTGTTTTAAAACCAATTTTTAGCCTTTAGATATTTAAAAAAAAATAATTGCTTACATTTTTACTTCAAGGCATAAGTTTATGTTTATTTTGAAAAATATGGATGATCAATCTATGTAATTATCTATTTCATTGAACTTGTCAAATCACCAGGCCTACAGGGTTGCCATAATTTTGCCATATCATAACCCCTCAGAACCCACTGGTAGTCATTCAGTTTGGAATGCCTAATTAGGCATTCCAACGACCTGTCAAACAATAGGTGCCAGTGGGAAATTCTTGTATATTTAAGGGGGTAGCGACATAGTCTTGCAACTTGTGCCGCGTTTGAGAATCCACATCGGATGCATTTTTTACATCTCGAGCGTTTTTTTATCCACATCGGACACATCTACTACATCTACATCTGCGTTTGTTTATCCCAGATGTACCTGTTCAGATTACATTTTTTACATCTCGATTTGAAATGAGATGTGAATGAGATGTTCGTTCCATGCCAGAAAGTAAGTGTTCTGTGAAGCCTTGTTTGTCAATTTATCCTTTGTTTATGCTAGCATGAATATAAAAGTGATTAGTTTGTATAATTTTTGTTAATATTTCAAATTTAGGTTGATTTGTAGTCTCAAAAGTCAAATTTAATAAGTATAAACTTCTAACTTGTCATTGACATTTTATCACGTGACCAAATAAAGTCTAGAGCGTTTGTTTATTACATCTACATTCAGATCTAATTCTCTATCACGTGATAAAAAATTCACAACATCTCAGATGCATCCGATGTGGATTCTCAAACGCGGCATGTGACGCTATTTTTATTCGAAGCAGTGTTGTTCCTAGGGATTTTTGAATTGTACAACTTTCAGTGTCAAAATTGTACACTTTTACTTTCGATTGTACAACCACTAATTAATCTTCTTCTTTTTTATTGACAGACTATGGCCTACTACTTTCCCATGCTTAAAATTCTTCTTTTTTCCAGTTTAAAATATATTTTTGATGTAAAACGGTGTACTGATTGGTTGCGAATGGCGCCAAATTTAAACTTTTATTTTTTTTATTAATTTTAATGCATGCTATTTAACAAATCGTAGACTTTTTGAGCGATGAAAACCTTTTATATACCCAATTTTACATAAATATTTAGAAATTTCAAATTGTACAACATTTCTGTCTTTTTTCAAAAGTGCGTACAACAGTACAACCGCATAACTGATTGTACAACTTTTTGTACAATTGTACAACCAGGAACAACACTGATTCGAAGTAGTACTCGCCAAGCCTGCCAATTTATGAAGAAATGTATAGGTGGGTTTTTTAAATATTATTTTTATTGTGTCTGACATAAAATATTTAAATGTAATCCATTATTCATGATTTTACGTAAAGTAGATAGAATACACCATATGTCGCCACCCTTAGATATACCAAACCTGCCCACTGGTAATTCATTTGTTTGGAATGCCTAATACCTCTCGAAAATGTGCCTAAAAATCTAAAAAAAATTCTTTGACAAATGACATTTGTTTTGAAAACTTGCCCGCTTGCCCGTTAAACAGTTTCATTTCAAATAAAGAAGAAATATTTTAATTCCAATCAAACCGCAGATTTCAAACTATGGAATCGAATTTAAATAAAGTACGAAATAAGATGAAATATATTTTAGGGTTTGAATAATAAAATAGTTTTTCTAGGCTTTAAAAGAATCGCTGAAATATTTTTCCCATGAAGAACGACTAGCAACTTTTAAAACTTGGATTTTTAGCAACAAAGATCCATGCAATGTAGAAAAAGTAAGTAAATGACTTCCGATTCTGACACAGAAATGGTTGTCTCGGAATTTGGAGTCCAGTTTTCACAAAATACCAAGTTTCAAAGTGACCATTCTACTTTTAAATTCTTACTAATTTGGTGTATCCTTTGGTCAAGTTCTAAAAAGATATTTTAGTTAAATTAAAATCTAGTGTAGTGGAAAAATGATGACTATGGTCACACACGAGGGTGTAGCTTTTTCATGAAATTTGATTCTACAAAAAAAAACCTGGGTAAATAATCCTGACGGATTAAGCCCATATAAACCAAAGAAATAAAATCTCATCCCTAATATATTATGGCTGGAAACTATTATAAAATCAAATTATATTTCAGATGGCAGAAGCAGGGTTTATTTTCATAGGAAGCAAAAACGAACCTGATTCAGTTAAATGTTTCTTCTGCAATAAAAATTTAGATGGTTGGGAGTCAAACGATAATCCTTGGAAGGAACATTTACAACATGCACCTAAATGTTCATTTGCCAAATTACAACAACCCATGGATCAGATAACACTCAAAGAATACTACATATTGAATTCACAATTATGCCACTCGGTCATTGATGCCTACATTGAAGAACAAAGGCTTGCATCTGGGAAGTTATTCAAAAAATTGGAAGCAAAGTTTAAAAAATAAGCTGATTTAATTGTTCACTTAATATTTCCAAAATAAAGATTTTATACACATATGAATTTCTAACAGACAGTAAGTATACTTTATTATGAGTTATAATGAACAATAAAGTTTAATAGGAACATGTACATAATAAAGGTCTTTATTTTATTAATCCTTGGCCAAGTCCAGCAGAGCTGTTCCAAGTTAACCAGGTACCATTTACATAATGAAATCTACAATAATATTAAGATTTAAAAATTAATTGGAAGAAAATAGATTATAATAGAAATAAACTAATTACTTAACTTAATAGAAGTGACGACATCTTTTTTTTTAATTTTGAACAAATTTAATCTGTAACATGGGTGGAGGGGTCAGATTTGCCCACAGCACTTAGGCCTCACTAGGCATCATCCAAAATTGATAGGTCTCTCTTAGCTCATCAGCCAGCCTACATATTTGGTTATGCAGAAGTGAATTATAAATTTTAACAGTATTACATGAGAGTGATCTCTTATTTAGAGCTGTTCTGTGTTTGGGTATAACAAGTATACCTGTATTTCTAATAACTTGGTTATGAATTTTCAAGAGTTCTGGATTCATTGAAATCTTACTGATGATTCAGCATCTAACAACTTTACACTTCAATCTGAAAAATCCATAATAATGAAGCTTAGCTACCAGAAGTTCTCTACCCAGGGTATCAAAAGCCTTACTGAAGTCTGATAAAACCAAGGTTGTTAATATATTGGTTAAGGCAGTAACTACGCTATGTCCAACTCTAAAGCCAGATTGATTTTATGCCAAAAATTATTAATACACAGAAACTTTACCATGTGAAAATATATAAATTTTTTAAAAATCTGAGAATGTGGAGAGTTTACCTATTGATTTCAGTTCAGAAATTTCTTTCAGTGTTTGCACTTTTGGAAACAGAACTACACAAGCAATTCTCCAGTTTATTGGAAAATAGCATTTAATTTCACAATTTAGAATATGTGTCAAATAAGACAATAACACAACTTTAACATACTTAGGGTTTTATCAGTTAAGCAGGTTCAATTATTCCTAGAATATCAATTTCATATTTAATAATAGTTTAATATCACAAATGATTAACCTATTTTGATTTTCTTTTTTTGTTGTATTTGCCATTATGTCAGATTGAAACAATGATCTTAACATCACTGTTAGAGTTGCCGCCTGTCCTTTTTTGAAGCAAAATGTCCTTGTGACTTTTTAAAGCTTAAAATGTCTTCTATTTTTACAGTACATATTTTTTTTTTTAACTAAGTTAGTGGCACTGGATATAAACCAACAGGCCAGTCAATTGTCAGGTGAACAAATAAAAATATCATATAACAAACTTTATTATTTTACAAATTATATTAATGTTGCTCTACCTTAATAACTAAAAATAACCTGAACTTAATAAGGTTTAAATGTTTTGTTTATTTTTTTTTTGTTTTTTTTTTCTATTTTTCTCTTGACTTTATTTTTTTTTCTTTTCTTAACAATTTTTTCGAGTCAGGTGTACAAATTTTTTTATTGGTAGCATCGCTACTTACATGTTTTATTTCTATTTCCTAATTACAATTTTAATTTGAGTGTTTAGACGAAATTATAGAGTATGTTATATATACTGTCAAATGAGTACATATCTTTAGAAGGGACATGGTTTGTACAAAAATATATAAGCTGGGAACTTTTTTTAGAAGCTCGGTAGAATGACAAGGAGGATTTTTGTTTGTTACAAGCTTGGCGAACTTTTTTTTTTAAGTTCAGTAGAACGATAGGACTTTTTGTATACCGAAGCTCCTGTCAGCATCATAGTCCTTTATTCACTTTTCAAAAATAATTAGGCATCCATGATAGAATTAAATTATTGATAATTTCTTATTTGAAGTCTTTCTACCTCATCCTTTCTAGCACAGATAGACCCATCTTCACACCAAATAAACTTGTAACCATGATTTTTAAGACTCTTAGCTTTATTGAATAACAGCCTGATACTTTTTTGCAAGTCCTTATTTATATAAATTGGTTTATTCTCTCCATCAATTTCACAATCTAATATACTTAATTTTTTGTTCTTTCTTATCTCTGACAGATTCTTCCTTGAATTTTAATGACACCGGTTTTGCTGTTTCTTTGCTTGTTAATAGTTGTACAGAGTATTCACTTACATAAATTCCTGTATACATTTTGTTGAGTATTTTTTCGACCTCTTACACAATGGGCCTAAGTGCGGTGGGGTAACCCACCCTCCACATGTTACAGATACAGGGAGATATTTTGCTTGGATGTGCTTCCAACAGTAAAATTAAAAATGATAACATTACGTGATTACAGAATTATAACTTAATTTCTAGTTCATCCACTCTGTTTTTAAGTCCTTTTCGTTTTCTTCTAAAAGCTGCATTATCTTTGGACAGAAGTTTTAGTGATTTCTGCAAGTCGTCCATTTTACGGATTCTTCCAATTCTGAGATTTTTTTGTAAAATTTCTCTATTTGTTAAGTTAACTTTGCTTAAAATAATACTTTTAACGGCTGTAAAACATGTTTTGTTGCCGCGTTTCACTTTTGGTGGTCCTTCTTCTTCTACAATATTCAGATAATTTTCATTTTCGCTGTTCTCAGTTCCTGATGAAGAAAAGACTACATTTTGAACAAAATTCAGTACATTTTTTATGAAACCAACCTTGACATTTTCCGTTGCATCATAAACTGAAATGGGATTTTGTAATATTGAGTTTACAACTGGCACAGAACTTCTTCAGAAGGTCTACTTATTTGAATAAAGATCTGGCAACATTGGCCACAGTATTCCAGTTTTAGTTCTGCCTATGTGGTATGATGCTTATTTTTTGTTATTTTGTTTCTGGAACATATTTTATTTATTTGTGACTTGCTACAAATGTACTGTTTGTATAAAACGTAGTGAATACATTTTGTGTCGTTTCTTTCCAGATCCACTTTTTTATTCTTTTTTTTTTTTTGAAGATGTTGAGAATTATTATTGGTAAAATTTTATATTTGCACCTTTCTATTCATGAAATAGTAATGTTTATTCATAACAGAGGGAGACCCCTATCAGCCAGAATACATATAGGTAGATATGACTGACTTCTGCTGGGTCCACTACATACATCAGATACAGATTTTCATGTGCGATGAGCAACATAAGTCTCTACCAGTGGCGGCTCGTGGGGTGGTTCACAGTGACAGAATATAGGTATAAGTACAGATGTATGAAAAAACTTTCAGTGTTTTAGAAAGTTTATAATATGCCTTTCTAAAACACTGACAGTTTTTTACCTATATCTGTACCGGGATCTATATTCTGTTACTGTGAACCCCCCAAATTTTTGTCACAAGCCGCCCCTGGTCTCTACCTGTACATGTTCCTATTAAACCTTGTTCAGCTCATTTTAAGGTTGAAAGTGTTGATAATTTCATACATTTACAATTTGATCCAAATGTTCATTATTTTTGAAACAAAATGTAATTCTAATACAATTTATTTCTTTATAAAAGGCAGTCTGAAAATACACGTTAAAGTATGTAAATTCAAATTTGTATTAATACATTTTACAGAATAAAGATTATCTTACAAAATACAACACAACCATAGAAAATAGATTAACAAATAAAAATACTGTAGCAACTACTGCATCATTTGAACCAGTACCTGGGCAATAGATTGTTGATTTATCGCCGAAAACTCCTGTTTCACCACTAGAAGAGTCTGTACGACCATTACCGTCATTACAAAGATCACTTTTGCAGGCTTTGAAGTAGCTTCTGTGTGTTTCGTCTTCGATTACTTCATGTATATAGACTGGTTTGTCGACACAATTTCTTGAAATAGATTGCAGTTTACCTCTGGGGTCCTATAAAGACAAAATCGTTATTTCAATTAATTTATTTTATCTACTACTAGGTATAAAATGGGACACAGAGCTGCCACCAATCATAAAGGAAAAGATTCTAATTAAAGATACTTTGCCTTTTACTAAACGATTTAAATTAAAAAAACTTCCCTGTAAAAAAATCTGATGTGTCCAACATGACTTTCCTTTCTAATTATTACAGGCTTTTTCCAATTATTTTGTACAACTTAATTGGCTGAAGGACCTAGGTCGATGGCCATTTGCTTGTAAAATTTATAACCAATAAAATGCTTTTATTATTATTTGTACAACCTATTGTATCACCTCTGTAAATGTTTGGAGGGTGAACTAAATATATACATTTTCCACATACATCTTTCTCGAAATTTTTTTTTTATATATATTCATTGTCAACGAAAATACTAAAAAATTAAAATTTTACACTTTTCCTCAAATTTTTCCATTACAGTCCATTTTAGAGAAATCATCAAATTTCTCGAATACGGACCATTTTAAGAAAATTATGTATATGACAAAAATTATAGAGAATAACATAAGCAGCCTTTATTTGAAGAAATTTTTTCATGCGTAAATAACAGATATATTTCTTAAAGTAGGAAAACGACCTTCTATAAAATACCCCCCAGATTTTCCGACTATGCCCAAAATTTAATCATTTTACCGCAGGATTAAAGCCTAAATTTAAAATTTTGTGTTTTTCTCTTTATCCGATTTCGAGTTTACACTTTTTCTTAAATATCTCGAATTATAGAATGAATTATTTTTTAAAAATTTGATTTTTTTATATTTTGTCAAATTTATCGAATACGGACTATTTTAGGAAAATTTTGTGTAGGGCCAAAATTGTTCCGGGGATAAATTGGCATACTTATGGGTACCTACAAACCTTAACGCGCGTTTCCAATTTTCACACTTAAAAAAATCATTAAAATTTTATCGAAACCGAATCTGCAACTATACGTTAATAAACAAGGTAGTTAATGCAAACTATCTTACCTATCTTTCTCTTTCGGGCAATGAAAAAATGATCTTCCCATTTTTTGTTTACTGTTGCAGCCATCTACATAACATATCACCAGCATTTTTATATTTTTAAGATACAAAATTCGCACACAATACTTATTGACATAGCTGTTATATTTAAATCTCCAGGAATAATACTATGGAAATAACGTCACCAATTAACCACAATAATTATTGTATTTAATTATCAAACACATTGGTATATCCGATCGCCAATGTTCTCACTCGATACTTACGACCACCACCTGTATAATCGTTCCGTCACAGCCCCCACCCAAATACTGAAATTGGCCAAAATATACCAAGGAAGAGTGGCATCAGAGAGTGAGTGAGACAGGCAATATTGGGGAAGGAGCTTAGAGTGATGATCCTTCTTGTCTTGTTTATGTTTGGTAGTACAGGACAAGAATTATAGATATCACAAACAACTTTTATTTGAATTTTTTTTTTTTAATTTCTATTTTTTGTCAAGTTTCTCGAATACGGACCATAATAATATTAGTTGTAACTTTTATTTGAAGAATTTTCTTCTCCAAACGTAAATAACATATATTCTATAAAATATAAAACGATTCTCTATAAAGTACCCTTCCAGATTGTTCCGACTCTGCCCAAAATTAATCAGTTCACCGCAGTTCGGAATAAAGCTTAGTTTAAAATTTGGTGTTTTATCTGTATCCGTTCATGAGTTATCGAGTATATACGGACATCGAGAAAATAATCAAAACGAATTCAGGAGACCCCACAAAACTTAAAAATCGTCAAAATCTCGAGGTCGAAAAAAATCATGATTCCTATACCTTCCTTATCTGTATACAGACAGGAAAGTAAAAAGTTTTAAATCAAAAATCATTTTGGATAAGTAAATCACATTGTGAAAGATTAAAATGTTTTTTTTTATTTAGATCATAACCATAGAAAATTAAAATATGTAAGTTCATTTGCGATTTTTGCAATTATTTTGTTTACTATAGACCAGACTGTTCTAATATTCCATAAGAAATTACGTTAGCTGTAGGCTTGAGTTATTTGAATTCGAAAATGATTTCAGTCTGTATTTTTTAAAGAAAATTAAAGATGTACTTTCTAAAAGAGATTAAATAATAAATCAAAAATCATTAGTGGGAAAAATATTTAAAACTAAAAAATGTAGTCACAAAAATGATTATATCTTCCTTTGTGTGGCAGCTCTGATGGTATTTCTTTTATTCAGCATTTTTGGAGGTAAAAATATGAGTGTTTTATTAAATTGTGTTAAATGATACTATTCAGCTTTATAGAAAATATACTTACCTTGTAATCAATTCTAACAAGAATACAGTATTTTTTGTCACAATCTGTTATGTCACCCTCTTTTGCACCCAAATTATCCAAACAAGAAGTGTCTGTATCGTCTTCTGTGCAGGAGCATGTGTAACATTTCAAACCTTAAAAGATGATTGATAGATTCAGAAAAAAAAAATTGTATGATTGTTTAAGGAATGTCATATCAATTTAGTACACCCTTCAATGATTTATTAAACAAAGATACATTTTCATAAAAATAGTACTTATAATTTTGCAAAAATTTGACTTACTCTTTACACTATGGATGTAATAAAGAAGAAAAACTAAAATAAAAACAATATGTATCTTCATTTTCACAGATTTATTTGGATCTAATAGTACAATTACATTAATTCATACCCTGTTTATCTTTTTCTAGAAACTGATAAGATTTTATGCAATCAATCAAAGATAAGTTATCTTTAATAGAAGGATTTCATTTAAAACTAATATTTTTGAGAAGATGACAAATATGTTTATTTCCAAAAGTGTTCTCTTACATACTTTCATGTTTCTATCCCTTCCTGTTTTGAGATATAAAAAAAAATAGTATGCAAGGCTAGGCAAATGGTCCAATTAGTGAACTTAGGAAAATAATTTAATAAAGTATTTGCAGTACTAGAGTCAAACTGTGTTGAAATCTTAGACTCACTGGCATATCTAGAGGGGGACAGGAGTAGGTATGGCCACCCCCAGAATCTCCAGAACTGCGATCTAATTAAAATATATTCATTTAATGAAAAAGTCAACCCAAATATACATTACAGTCAAGACATTAGAAAGATACTCTCTTTAAATGAATTGGTGACTATTCACTGATGTTTTCCATTACCAAGTCGATCACTGATATATGCTACTGTGGTAGATTTGACAACTTCCCAAGTACTCCATGACTTAAAAGAGTTAATATCTTTGTTAAATCTTAATTGTTCATTGAAACGTAATCCTAATTTTTGTTTTATTGGTTACATTTAGTTTCAGTTAGATTTGATAGAAAAGAAATAAAACAAAGAAATTTTAAAGAATTCTTTTATTTAAGAAAACCAACATCTTGATCTGGTTGTATCTGACTCAAAGTTTCCCATAATGCTTCGTCTAATCTTTTTGCTACTTCAAATCCCAACTTTAAACTTTCAATAAGAGTTGATGGATGTAAAGAACCTTTACCAGTCTGGTAGACTGTACTAAACTTATTGCCAGACACTGCTACAACTACTGAACCCACAGAACACTGTTCTTCAGCTGCATTTGGATCTACTATGCATTTGTCACCTATTTTACAAACAGTCACCTAAAAATATATGTATTTTTGCCAGGGTAGACTAATAAATTTAAAACACATACCATAACGGGAGCTTTCTTTACATCTAATCTTTCACAGGCATATAAATCGTCGGCTACATTAATCTCAACATTATTACCATCAATATTAATATTTTTAACAAATGGTACTTGAGTGTTCCAAAGGGCAGCTTTTACTGCTAAAGAAACTGCATCGAAAAGATTCCCTCCACATTCTAAAATCTAAAAACACTTTTACTGCTGTACCAAAATAATGGTAAAAGAAAAAATTCTTACTAAAATATCCACATATAGTTTCCAACATTTTCGTCCATGTAAAATGCACAATTTTCTTAAATCAAAAGCTAAGGAAGAAGAGTAAGCAGAACTTAAGGTACTTGAAATGGTTACAGCAAGGTCCTCTCCACCTCTACCCTCAAAATCAGGAGTGGCATTTGCAGAACTACAAATAAAAAATTTGACAAAAAAATATTAAATTTACAAGAGTAATTTTAAAAGACTAAAAAATGAAGAGTTTGATGATTTTCTCACATATGTCTTGTAGTTAGTATCCTACTAAAGCACATGTCTACACCAATGCTGCTTCAACTCCTTCTAACAATCAGAATGGTTATATAGTTGCCAGGGTTATATAGTAATATTTCAAATCTAATAAAAGTAAATTTGAGTCATCAGAGATGCTGTCAAACATATATTCGAGGGCAAGGAAAATTCTTTGAACTGAATAAAAATATCCTGTAATTTTAGATTATTTTAATGAAGCACAAATTTTCTTAAATGGAAAAACAAAAATGAACCTATGGCAAAGTGGCAGGTGTAAAATTTAAATTCTAAATGTCAGTGCAGAGTGGAGTGGACATGTGGATTAATAGGACACTAAACTAAAAGATTTCCATGGATACCATTATCACATCTTGACAAAATTTATGTAAGACCACCCCTGAGGTAGCCTGTTTCAAATAAATAATCAAGGGTAATATACTATGATCTTGAGTTTGCTATTTTTGTTGAATCTAAATCTCGAAAATAGTTTAATATCAATTTGATGAGACATAATTTTTGGCATTAATAATCTGAACAACATAGTAAAGAATTATCCCTGAATATACATAAAAGAATGAGAACCTCCACCTTTCTTGAAATCTGTTTAATAATAATAATAATAATACTCTCCCTAATTACCCCCTTACGAGTAAATTTTATCCCCAAAAGCTGAGCTTGCAGGGGAAAGGGACAGCTATTATTATTTGCCGTGGCGCTCCGGGGCGACTTAGATGATTAAAGGTGAGGAAAAACCCGGAAACCTCACCCACCATCATTAAAATACTTTATTATTAAACCAAAGTTGCTTACCAGTCAACAAAAAATTCAATTTTTCCTTGATGAGGGCTCTCTGGAAAAGGAACATCAACTTCAATTTTTACCGCGACAAGAATATCTGTATTTGCTAGCCTAAGGCGAGCAGAACCGAAAGCGTGTGATACTATATCTGTTTCCAATTCCATAGGTCTGTAGTCTTCACGTTCTCTACCATCTACACGAAAATTCTCCTAAAAAACAATCGTTTCAATCCAAGTTACATTAAATCGTTTAAATTCAAATAATTACCTCAACACCGTGCAAGACGAAAGTTTTTTCTGCTTCACACAAAGCCATAGTTTAGTTTGTATTTGTATTTAAAAAAATGTTCAAAGTTTAATTTTTTAAAGTAAACATAACCTTAAACTTCTTCTTTTCCTAATTATCTCTTCAGGTTTGTTCTGGTTCTCAAAATGAAAACTGTTTTGAAACTGCGCCGGACCGTATGCGTAAAGGCAAAAAATCCCCGACTGTTTGAAATTGTTAGAAAACCAGAACACGTCATAAAGGTGTTTTGTTTATTGTTTATTATAATAATGAAGTTCCTTTTGAAAGCTCAGCTTCAAATAACATTTGCATGTAGGTATATGTTTACCATTATCATCACATTTCAATGGAATAAATAAAAACAGAATAATATTAAAAAATTAATAATTCTAAAATTGCTTTAATTTACAAATAAAACAAGAACAAGAGACATTCGTCCACATATAAATAAACAATTTGGGATTGTATACGTGTCGTATAGTCTAAAAAGCCAATACAATATTCATAACACTTCAAAAACGCATGCGCGGTCAAAACAGTCCGAGTCGATCCACACTCCCAAGCATGAACACTTTTTGACTGTTTACAACAATCACGGATTATTTCGGATACGAAACCAGAACACTGGACTAAGGGTCGGTTTTTCAATGTCCAGTCAAAGTGGCTGTTACGTAGCCGACAGCTATATTTAGCTGGCAGTCAAAGTCCCTGTTACCGATGGAATATGGATGGAAGTGTTTTTCATCACGAATTTAACTGCTAGCTACGTAGTCTAATAGTTTTTATTTATTCTTAGACAGGTTGGCATTTCTGCTAATTTGTTAAATGGTTTTTATTGGATAATTTAAATTTTCCGTTTTACATATCGTGTCTTGTGTTGATCGTCACCGACCTTCACATAAAAATTGTTCTATTTTGCTTCCATTTTTCTTTAAGATCTTGTTATTTTCTGTTTTTGGGCAATTGGTGATTTAGAAAAAAGAGAAAATATCTAATTACGCGGAATCAGATAGAGCCATACTATTGAAATTTGGTTATCTTACAAAATGTAAAAAAAAAAACGGAAAATGCATATCACGGAAACGAAATGAGAAGGTTGCAGAAAAATCTAAAATTTAATATTTCGGCATCAACTGCTATGGTTATTAGCCTCGTGTTCTGTGTAGGCTTTGTTACTGTTTCCCAGCGCCACTTTAGGAACAGCACTGTTAATTAGTACCCAACAGTGAATGGTAGGATTCCCCACTCGACCATTTACTGTTGGGTACAAATTAACAGTGTTGTTCCTAAAGTGGCGCTGGGAAACAGTTACAAAGTCTATACAGAACACGAGGCTAATAACCATAGCAGTTGATGCCGATGACACAAAAAACAAAAAAAAAATAAAATTCAGTTCATCGATATCGAAATAAATGGGCCGTTCCCTTACAACACACGGATTACAAGGTCATCATTGATTAATATTCAATAATTTAAATAATTTATTTTTTGGCATCGTCGCTGTGAATATATTCAAAGAAACCCATTTTTCAGAAATAAAATTAATAAAAATATTAACCTCTAAATTTGACAAACAACGTCCTACGCATGTACAATAAATAGCTGGCGGCTATCTATACGAAATTACCACTTGCAAGTGTCGGTTACGGTTACAGTCAAAATAGCTGACGGCTATCGTATAACTGGAGGTCGAAAAACGTTTTGACAGTCAGTGGCTGACGGCTATCTCGGTAGCTGCCAGCCACAAAGCACGTATCTTCTAGAGACCCCACGCCAATGTTAAACTTTTAAACCAAATTGGCGCCACCTTGTGTTTGGAGCTGGAACTAAAATGACAATTGACAGATATGGCGGTAAATTCAAATTGTAATTTTTAGGAGTAGGTAGTAGTTTTAAATTAAATTTTAAATGATTTCCACATAAAGTATTTTATAAAATAAAGAATGGAACTAGTAAGTTCGAAACTTTTATTTTACAAAATAATTTAGGTCGATTATACCAAATTTGAGGAATTAATTTGTTATAAGCAGGGGTCTGATGTGAAGAGTTGGTTCTGCATACTATTATTAAATAAATATAAGATATATCAATAAACAATAAAATAGAACATTCTTAAAATATGTTTATTAATAACTTAAATAATATTATTAGATAAAAATAAATACAAATAATAATACATATTTAACGAATACTTACTTGCAGCAAATAGGTATATAATCTCAAATCTTTAAAATACCTATCAATAATTTAAATGTGAAGTAGAGACTAGGATATTACATTTTATTAACACTAAAATAATATATTTTATAAATGTCTTTTAAACCGAGGACAAATGTAATATAGGTATTGTATTAAAAGGTGAATCCTTTTAACTATTCATTCAATGATAAATAGGTATTTTCATTTTCCTTCCAAATACAGATGGTGGTATTACTCCACTGCTTTGTGTATTACTCTCTTATGTGAAAAATGATTTCGGAATCTAGTCCAGTGATAAATTGATTATCAATTAGTTGTTATACCCGTTTCTTTTTATGATGCAGATGCATGGTGAATCAATGAAGTTTTTCTCGAAGTTTTCAACGTAGCACCCACAGGTAGCACCAAAATTATTGCAAAACACAGTAGGTTATAACTAAGACGAAACCAGGCCCATGACACTCCCTGGGCGGGAAAAAGACACGCAGCTTTTACTGCGCTGACGTTTTCGGGATATAACCTATCACTTGTCATAAATCCGGTTAAAAACTCGCTACCATGCGCAGGCAATCCATATTTCGTACACAAATACAAACTTTTGTTTACATTTTATCGAAGTAGTTTTTGTAATACATTCACAGCTTAAAAACGGAAAATTTGTTGTTTTGATAGTGAATTTAGATCAAAAATACCCCAAATACACTTTAGTGTGTGTTTTATCCTTATTGTTACGTATTATTGCTAGTTTTATTTGAGGACATTGGAATAAATAGAGTACTAGAAGTAATCAAGCTAAAAAGGTGTCTTATAAGAAGAAAATACATTGTATTCGACTGATTTATGTTTAATATGTTTTCGTAAAGTATTTCCAACATGCTAGTTCCTTGAATGGTTGTAAATTGTAAGTGTATAAGTGATAGAAACTGATCTAGTGTTTTGTGCTTCGTTTTTTTTGTGTTGGTGTCCCAGCCCAGCATTCCTAGCCAGCAGTAGTAGCAAAAACATTAACATTGTCTACATTCAACCCGTTTACATGTACGTGATTTATCAACTAAAAGCAGAATACAATAGTTCTCTGCAAAATGTAAACAACGCTACAAGGAAAATTGTTCATGTATAAATTCAACAATTAAATCAAAATATATTATTTTTAAAGGACTTATATCAACTATTATGTTAATTATAAATATTATAATATAAATATTTGTAACAAAATAATAGTTGTGTATTAATAAATCTGTTACTACTCCAAAAAATATATTGTTTATTGATTATCAGGTATCAAAAATAATATGTTTCTTATTATAGTTGTAAATAAAAACAACACTTTTTATCCGTCCATTTAACACTTACAAACATATGCATATTTTAAGTTGTAAGGATCCATAGCCTCTTAATTTTTTACATTAGACACAAGACCTGTGATGTCACATTAAATCGTGAATATGAGATAAAGGATTTTGGAGTTGTCTTTCAGTCTAATTTGAAGTTTAATAACCATTTCTTACACATAACTAAAAAAACAATAAAAGCTTTGGGTTTTTAAATCAGAAATACAAAAAAAATTTAGAATTACCACCAAAATCAAATTATATAATGCCTTACTAAGACCCATCTTGAGTATGTTTCACAAATATGGATGCTCTTGAAAGCCACACATATTGATCATATTGAAAAAGTACAAAAAATATTTTTATCATACCTTTATGCCATAAAAAATACTTGTACCTTTATAAGATCTCATATAAAACTATGCTCGATAGTTTTAAGATTAAATCTCTTTTACAAAGAAGAAAGCAACAGGCTGTGATATATTTTGTACTCTATTTTAAATAATGTTAAGTACAAAGATTGTGATTTGATTGACTATATAAATTTTAATGTGGCAAAGATTAATCTAAGAATCCCAAGTAACAAAAAATTATTTAGTTTAGATCCAAGTAGTATATTTCCTTTTAACAAGATAATGGCTGTTACCAATGAGTTTTTTAGCGAGGTCTAAATAGATATCGTTAATATTAGCCTAAGAAAGTTGAGGACTGTACTAAATTAAATTCACTAGATATAAAGGTTTGTTTTGTTTTTAAAGTTCTTGTTACTTAACTCTACATGTAACTACTATTAATTTTTTATAGTATCCAATAAATAAATTATACCTTATGGCTGCTTTCAAACAACTCTGTGTGTAGTCACTCAGTTTAAAGTTAATTTTAAATTAATGAGTTTAATAAGAATGTCAAATAGTGATATGTATAGTGTCTATGAATTTGCTGTGTGTAGTAAATGGCCAATAAACATAACTTTGATATTTTTATTACAAGTGTAAAAACTACGAAAACCATATACATATAGTTCCCATTTTTAAATAAATTCATAATAAAAAGTAACGATTTTAGTCTGCCATACTTGAACTCATTCACTAAAACAAGTCACTGAGTATATATTTGTAAAAAAAACTACACTAAATATGTCTCCATTATAAATTTTAATATTTAAAACTACATACTTTCCTATAGATTTTGCAGTAAGTACCTAAATAACGTATAGAATAAATTTCTACAACATAGAAAAGTTTTAGATTAGAGTAATTCTTAAGAAATAAAGCAAAACCTCTATTTTGTTACTCTAACCTTGTGTGTTATATATTTTCCTTGACAAGCTAACGTTATAGTTTGAACTAAAAGTAATTAAACTTTTCACTAAAAAGTAATATTTCACATATATAAAAAAATTTTAAAACGGTTCTGCCTTCTCACATTTGCGAAGACTGCCCTGATATCTAATCTATTTTCTTCTTCAAAGTAATTAAGTTGTTCAACCGTTGTCTATAAAGGTATCTCACATCTCGCTCATACACACAAATTTGAAAAGCAGCAGAACAAAAATTCAACTAACCAGGTATACCAAGTCCGTGTAAAGAAAACTTTTCATATCCCGAAAACGTCAAGTGTCAACTAAAATTTCTACTTTTAAAGATCAAACGTGCCGCCTCAGAGTGCCAATACTGATTGATATATATACTGGGACGAAACTATCTCAGATAAACAAATGTTTATTTGTTTATCTGAGGAAACTATAAACAGAAACCAAAAGCCAAAGCCAACAAAAAATCACTAAAATCAGACGGAAAAATGAGATTAACCAAAAACATAAATAAATACACGTCACATCTTTGGAGTCTTTGGTTAAGTGTTTCTCCCATAAAGCTTAAAAATGGAGTAAGAAATCAGAATTTTACCAGTAGCCCCATCTAGAGTTTGGAGCAAATAGCATAAACAATGTCAATTGTCGGTTTTGACCTTGGTCATTCACGTGGAACCTCTATGTGCTTTGTGCTGCCAGCTATCCTAAATAGCCGGAGATTGAAAAACCGGACCTGAGAGATCCGAAGTAGTCCCAGAAAAACCAGAACACTTTTTATCTACTGCGCATGAGCCCGACAGTTGTGGATCGTTATTTCTCAAAACCAGAACAGACCTTTCTTATATCCGTATCACAGCATTATTTAGGCATTTTGTCGACAACATTTATGTTAGACGTCAATATTCAGTGTCTCCAGTCAAAAACAAAATAAAAATATTGAAAGATTGAACGTCAAGTTAGAGTAAGTGTTCTGTGGTCAAGTTTTAAACATAGAAAAATGTTTTAAACGTCAGGTTTGTGAGAGTTTTGTTGTACTGAATATGTGCTGAATATATAAAACAATTATAAAAAAATAATCACAGTCACTAAGCAAAAAATATATATGATCACTATCGGTTTCAAATTATGACCGAGGTGGATTACCAATTGGCTCTAATTTTACAACACAAATATGAGCAAGAACGAAAAGATAGCGAAATTGCGAAAGCACTACAGGAAACTTTCGAATACGAAGAGGAGAAGAAAAAGAACCGAAACGAAAGCCATTTAAACGATTCGATAATAGCAAGATCTTTACAAGAACAATTTCAGAAGGAATTAGAAGTCGAAAGACCAGGTCAGAATTTAGTATACGCCAGCAGTTCCACTAATAATCAAAATAGTTCGAGATCTCTTACCGATCCTTCATGGGAAGTAATCGACCCGACTCCTGACATTCACAATTTATTCATAGCTTTTAATGAGAGATTTTTTTATAACCAATTAGGATCAGTGTGTGTATGTTGGAGCAAACGAATGACTACTTGTGCTGGCATTTGCTCATATCAAGGTAGAGGAGGGATGTGCAGTATTGCTCTCAGTGAGCCCCTTTTGAAGCTTAGACCAAGGAAGGATTTGGTGGAAACATTGTTGCATGAGATGATCCATGCTTACCTTTTTGTTACAAATAATAACAGGGACAGGGATGGACATGGTCCTGAGTTTCACAAGCATATGAATAGGATCAATCAAGAGGCAGGTAAGATAAAAACCTGTTGTTTTCAAAATTGGAATGCTTATAGTAGGCATTAACCCATAATCAGGCTTGGAGTATATACAAGAAAGTAATTTATAAACATTTATTTTAGTAAAATAGGTTTAATTAAAATGGGATATTCTTGTAATTTACGGTCCTCTTAATATTCATGTCCATATGTATTTGAATTTTACACATGCCACCCTGCCAAATTTCCACCTTTATTTTAACATGCTATTATTGTAAAATAGCATTTTTTTTATTAATGTCATACTGTGCATTTTCTTGTATTATTTTTCATTTTTGTAATTATTATAATAGGTTACGAAACAATCATTACAATAATTGACTGTTCAAGTAAAATTATATAAATACCTAGATGTTTTGTTCTTTTAGGTTTCAGAGTTTTTCCATTTTTATGCACTATTGGTTATCTTCAAATATTGTGATTGGCTCAATTTTGATGTTCATACTACTTTCTAACAGTTGTTTTAAAAAAATATACTCTGTACTCGACTCTGTAACAACTAGATAAGGCTACAACATATTCAGATCGTTAACTGTACTAGATAATGTAACTATATTGTTTGTTTTTTAGACTTTCACTACATAGTTTTAACATTTACCTTTAGAACTTGGGTATACCTTTTCTATCATTCATGTTACTAGCAAAATTAAAAATCATGGTTTCCTCAGGAGTTCCACAGGGCTCTCATTTGGGACCACTGCTTTTCAACCTCTTTGATAATGACAGGTTCATTTTTTGAGAACTACTAATTTTTACTGTTCTTTGATGACTTGAAAATGTACTTCAAAATTACTTCTTAGGAGGACTGTTATGAGCTGGAAAGCGACATCTTAGCTCTTACAATTGGTCTGTTGCTAACATTAAGGGGCCTATTCATTAACTCTGAACGACGTCGTTAATAGACGATAATCGTTCACAGACGACTTTTCTTATTCAGTAGACAACGATTGTCGTTGAAAATAAACAAATATGGTTGTAAAATTGTCGTTCATCAACGATAGCTAAAGAGCTGTCGTTAATAATATGAAGTGTCGTTATAGAGATTTTTGCATTCCCTCTCATTTTTTATTGTGAATCAGGATGTGTTCTAAATAATAAAAGCACTTTTTTACAAATTTTACAACTAAATCGCCATCTACCTAATACAGCAAGTACAATTTGTAAGGAATTTTTTTCTAATTTATTTAATTATTTTAAAAATAAATCTGATTCAAAGTTATAGGATTGCCCATTCAACCACTATTGGATTCTTATTAAAACAGTGATGTTCCTAAAGTAGCACTGCGAAACAGTAACAAAACCTATTTTATGGAAGTACCTATTATACCTAAATAATACTTCTCCGTAACCTACACAGGAAACGAGGCTAATGGCCTGAGTTGTCGAAGCCGATGACAAGATAATAATAAGTTTTATAGTTTTTTGGGGAAAACATTTTGGCTAAAATTGTTTTTTTTATAGCAAACCATAATATGGCCAACTTTTTTTCGCGCAGCAAAATTTTCAAGTAGGTATTACTCAATAAGTAGAAATCCAATAAAAAAAATGTTTCCTTTAGAAGTTTCCTATTTTTTTATGAACTCTAAGAATACCTATGTAAAAAAATAGGGTTCCAATTTGAAAAAAAAAATCCACCTCGATATGGCCATATTATGGTCAGCTATAAAAAAATTAATTTAGCCAAAATTTTTCCCCTAAAAAACTATAAAACTTTTGTCTGGTATTTTTTTTTTATTAAATGCATATTTTTGGCGAAACTTAACTGTGAAACTTTAATTTAAACACCCGGTATAATCATCAACATACGTTCTTTTATCACAAAACACTAAATTATAATACCAACTTACTAGAAATCATCGTTCAGATTTGGTAACTAGAAACAACGTAACGACTTTGTTATTGAATAGAGTTTCAAAAATTATCGTTATAAAAGTCGTTGGTTGAACTGTCGTTAGCTTAACGATGTCGTCCATAAACGATAAATTACTGAATAGGGCCCTTAGTCTCTGAACACTGTTAAATGTTACTCAATTACTTTTACTAGAAATAAAACTTCCATTGTTTTCAATTATTCACCTAATAATGTACCCATGAACAGAGTTGTAATCATCACAGATCTGGGTATCAGGATCTATAGTCAGCTGACATTTACTGAACATATTAATACCATTACCAGCAAGGGTCATTAAATGTTAGGGTTTTACAATGCATAATTCAAAGGATTAGTCAATTAAAACTATTTTTAACCGACTTCAAAAAACGATCAGGTTCTCAATTCGTCGCAATATTTTTTTTTTATGAATGTTCAGCGATCATTCTTTAACACTGTCTCCGATTTCAATGATTCTTCTTTTGTTAGAAAGGGGGTACTTCAGGGGTGGTCCTATATAAATTTGGTCAAAATCTAATAATTGGGTCCATGAGAAAATCCTCAAACTCTTCATTTTTTATGTATGTTTAGTGATAATGCTTTACCACCTTGTCCGATTTATATGATTCTTTTTTTTGTTAGTAAGGTGGTACCTCAGGGGTGGTCCCATATAAATTTAGCTAAGATGTGGTGATGGCATCTGCACGTTTTTGAAGTTGTTTTTTTTTAATTTTTAATTTCTGATACTTGTAGTGGTTATATTGCTCTGGTATGTTCATTACTTCAATGTGCTTCTATAGTCTGGACTCCCTATTAAGCACTTCATATTTCAGCATTTGAAAGAATATAAGACAAATTTTTAAGATTTGCAGTATATAAAATGCACTTACAGGTTGGCAATTACAATTATGAGGAAGTTTTGAATACACTTAACTTATTATTACAAAACCGTATAATATTTATAGAAATGATTTCAAACTGTTGTCAGGGTATATTTGTTGCCCAGAACCTCTGTCCCTTTTCTCACTTAGGATTCAGAATAGGACCACTCGTAGCAACATTTTATTGGCCGTTTCATTTTATTATACAAATTATGGATATCACACTCCTGTCTCTTGCTTATCAAGAATCCAATAATTTCAACCTCTTCTTTTCTACGCCTCTCATCGTTTCCCCCTCTTCGTTCTTTCTACACCTTTCCTCCTCTTCGTTCTTTCTACACCTTTCCTTTTCCTCCTCTTCTTCTTTCCTACACGTTTCCTCTTCCTCCTTCCTGTGCCTTTCCTTCTCCTCCTCTTCTTCCTTCCTACGCCTTTTCTTTTCCTCTTCTTCCTCCTTCCTGCGCTTTTCCTTTCCCTCTTATCGCCTTACTCTGTCCACTTCTTCCTCCTTCCTACGCCTTTCCTTCTCCTTTTTCATCTTCAAAAACCATGCTGCTGGAACTGAAGTATCCATGTCTGTTTCGTGGGCAGTGGATCATGACTAGAATGCTTAGGTAACTTTTATATCCCACCGCTGTCACCAATGTTACACAGGTTTTTGGTATCTCAATTATTTCCACTCAACTTTTTAACCGACTTCAAAAAAGGAGGAGGTTCTAAATTCTACGTAATATTTTTTTTATTTATGTTCACCGATAATTCTTTAACACAGTGTCCGATTTCAATTATTCTTTTTTTGTTAGAAAGGGGGTACTTCAGGGGTGGTCCCATATTAATTTGATCAAAATCTAATAATTGGGTCCATTAGAAAATCCTCAAACTCTTCATTTTGAATGTATGTTTAGCTGTAATTCTTTACAACCTTGTCCCATTTCTATGATTCTTTTTTGTTAATAAAGGGTTACCTCAGGGGTGGCCCCCTATAAATTTGGCCAAAATCTAATAATTGGGTCCATGAGAAAATTCTCAAACTTTTCATTTTTAATGTATGTTTAGCGATAATTCACCTTGTCCGATTTCTATGATTCTTTTTTTGTTAGTAAGGGGGTACCTCAGGGGTGGTTCCATTAAAATTTGGTTAAAATCTAATGATGGGGTATATGAGAAAAACATCAAACTCTTAATTTTTTATCTATTTTCAGTGATAATTCTTTATCACATTGTCCGATTTCTATGTTTCTCTATTTGTTAGAAAGGGGATACCTCAGAGGTAGTTCCATATACAATTGGTCAGGATCTGATGAACTATGAGAAAATCAAAAATCTTAATTTTTAAGGGCATCTGCACGATTTTAAAGTTGGTTTTTTAATTAAAAAATTATAAAATTATACAATAACTATACGACTGATAACATTAATGTATAGCACACCGTAGGGCGATGGGTGACATTGCACTTCTTTTGTATTTGTACTCACACAGGCTACTACAGGGTGCAGGGTAACAATATTTTACTATAAAGGGGTTTTCTCGTTAACTAATTTAAAAAAATTCCCATCTAACTTTTTACTTTTAACAAGTAATTCCTTATGCCATATTTTCAGCTATTTATGATATATTTTGTTTAATATTTGTTTTTAATTTTCTTTTCCTGGTTTCAAATAATAAAATATAACTTGGCAACTATTTAATATAAAATGACCATAAACTACAAGATTACCATAAATGTATGAGCAATATTTACCTTTTTTTGGCAGTAACGAAAATGTGTGAGAACTGTTTATCCAGAGCATGACAAAAATATGTGGATAATATATGTCCTATTAAGAGGGAATATAGGTATCATGGCCTGATTAAGGGTTAAAACACCATTTTTTCATAAATATTCGTAAAAATGTGTGCAAGAAGAATGATAAATATACTTAGTTACCAGAAGATCCTTTGTTTCAAAATGTAAATAAAGACCTAACTGGTAATTTTAACATTTTATGTTCTTCTAATTTTATAGCCTCACTCTGTTTGGCCATTTATCATCAACATCTACACTTTTCACTTACTAATATTACAATATATAAAAAAGCTTTTTAGGTGCAATGGTTATTGGGAAAACATATTAATAATAAATATGTTAAGTAAATTAATAAAAAAAGCTTTAGAACTATATTTCTTGGTATTTGGGCCACAAATACGTTAAGAGACTGTCTTGATTCTTTTTTTTAATAATACACTAAAAATCTTCCAAATTCTCATTTTATTACTCAAAAATCTAATTATTTTGAACACGTTCATATCCTGTCTTGATATTTTCTTTAAAAAGTACGAAAATTTCTGCAATTACTTAAAAATCGAATTAGATAAATTTGAAAATCATCTTGGTAAATTCCATTTTAAATAAACCATCTAATACCTAGGTACCCTCCATTCCTATCAGTTTCACTAGAATTTAAAATAAAAAAGTTTAGGAAAATTGCCTCAAAATTCAACAGCTACAAGGTCAGGACTTACTAAGATCCCAGCAATAGTATTTTTAAATGCATTGGCGTCCATGAAGCTAAAAACCTTTTCTGAAGTTCCAGTAAAGCCACACTAGATCTGAAGCCATGCACTGAAATTTAGAGATGGAAAGTAACAAATCCGTAAATGTAAAAGTACAATAAAGCTGTCTCTTATTTTATCTCATCTCTTA